GCGGGCAGCTGCCCACCGGGCACCCGCTGCCCAGAATCATCGTCGCCGGCGGGCAGCCGGCGGGTGAACTCTCACCCACCTGCTACCCGCTGGAAAAATACCCAATTTGGGATTTTGGCTTCCCCGTTTGATGTTCCCCCGACCCCCGTGGTGTCCCAATGGACTCCGTCTATCGTGCCTATGTCTAGTTTGATAATTCGGGTACCGTTCGTAGGTTGTATGAGTTTTATATATTGCATGCTAGTTGAATTGGTATCCCGTTGACCTAGGTGAAAGAAGTATGAACCCCTTAGGCTTATTCTTAGTATGTGAAGGATCACGCATAGATTTTGTTATACGTTTTGTCCCCCTTCCCAATGTGTTAATGTGGGTTGCATGTGCTTGCTATGTGTTATGTGTGCATGTTACCCCAATTCGGTTGTGATCGGATTGGTTATTCCTGAGCTGCGGTTCAGAAGCTGGCTGCGGTCAGATTTACACTCTTGGGTTGCGGTCCACCGTTTGGTTGCGATCAAACGTTTCTACATGAGCTGCGGTTCATATTTCCTGGCTGCGGTCAGATGACATACTCTTGGGCTGCGGTCCACTGTTTGGTTGCGATCAAACTATGATGAGCTGCGGTTCATCGGTCGGTTGCGATCGACCCCTCCGTGTTGCGATATGGGGCAGGGTGCTGCGGGGCTGTGTCAGAGCTATATGCGCTGACCCTCATGTATGGGCATGCGATTGGTCCTGTGGCTCCAACAAAGTGTGCTTATGTGATGAGATATGGATGAGTTGTTGTTATGAGTGCCTTGGCGTGTGACTATGGGATTTATGCTAGGGATTCGTATATGTTGGGTTAGGGATATTTATTGTGCTCATCTTTATCTGCCGTGCCTGTTTGTAAACTGTATATGCTTGGTATAATTGTCGTCTGTGCTTAGCTCAATCTGTTGAGTCTATCCCCGTTTTAAAAGCTAGAGTCTCGTAGGATATATCTTCATGCTTCAAAATGGTTTTCGTATATCTATATATATCTCTATATGTAATGTATTTCAACGCGTTGGAGTGGGTTACCAGCATCTCTCGCTGAACAGATATATTTGGCTTTCAGGCACAGACGAGTAGCTCACTGGAGCGCGCTAGAGATTCGAGGCGTAGTGTAGATAGTTTTCCTTTCGGCCTGCGTGCCATTTACATTATGACGGAATTTAGTTAGTTAGCCTGTGCATCTGAGTTCTCTAGCTCAGGTGTGGCATAGCACCCCGTACCTTTATGTTTAACAATGCTCTGTTTGGGATTTAATAAGAGAATACCTTTATTATATAAGTCTTTAAAAGTTTTAAAATTTCGGGGTGTCACAGTTGACCTTAACCCGAACCGTTTGACCCGACCCAAATAGGAGCGCGGAGCATACGGGGAGCCTGGATCCGGGGTATATTGTGACAACTCAAAAATTATTTTCCTAAATTCTATTTTATAAATCCCAAAATAATTAACTTTACTCATTGAATTAAATATTTTATATTGTGATTTTTAGTAATTCAACACCATGCTATTTCGAAAATCCTAAGTTTCGAGTATATCTATGTATCAAGTTTTGATCCAAAAAGTCAATCTGAATGAAACTTGAGAGTAACCGGTGAAATTTGAACCAAATATTTTTATCTAGAAACATCCTTATAAGAAACTCATTTTATCTTCCAAAGAGTGTATAAACCCATTTTAATACTTTAAGCTAAGCCAAAAGAAGGATCCTGATATTGTGAAAACCATTTTACCAAAATACCCTCATCAGCCAACATTCTCACCTAGGATTTTGAGCCAATATAAATAGAACACTATTCATCAGATTACTCTCAATGCCTCCATTTGCCTCCTTCATCCTGAGAAAACAACAATCTGATAGAGAGAAAAGGAAAACACAGTAAGTCATCCTCTCCATTCATCTCTTCCATTTCATTCCATCTTTCCAGACATTCATTTGTCCATCTCTGCTTTTCCATCTCTGAGTTTGTGATGGGTGTTGTATGTGTTTATGTTTAATTTGTTTGAGGAAAAATAGGAGGTGAAGGTGGGAATCTCTGTTGAAGAAAGGAGGGATTCACACTAGGAGTAGCCAAGCTCAAAGGTATAAACCATGATTCGCATCAAGCAAAATGAATTTTTGCTAGTGGGGTCAACACTTCACCAACACACAAAAATTCAGTTACAGACATGAATATATCTAGGGTTTTAGAGAGTAATCCTTTGCTAGCGCTATCAATCGGAATATATAGGGTACATGCATACATATAGATATAAAATTTGTACATAAACATATCAGACAAAGAGAGTGGTGGAGAGTGAGGCAGCTCCGGCGAAGGAAGGGTGGTGGCGAGTGTGGCTGAGGCTTTGGTGGTGGTTGTCGGCTGTTGTCATTGGTGGTGGAAGGGCAGCGACGAAAATGGCGAGTGTGGCTAAGGTCTCAAGCGTTGTCGGAAATGAGAGGGCGAGGGGAAGGTCGGCTGTCGTCGTCGGCAGAGGAAATGGGAGAGGGCGTCGGAAATGTGAGGGCGAGAAAGGGCGGGAATGGGAGAGGCAAAAATGGGGATCTGATTTGTTTAATTTTGGGTTGGTTTCAAAAATTAAAAAAAAAATTGGGTTGACATTCCGCGGCACCCTCAAGAAGAGGTTGTCGTGGAAAGTCATATAATAAAATAATAATAAATTTTCGCAACACCCTGTTCCAGGGGTGCCACGGACAGTTTTTTATTTTTATTTTTTAATCAAAAATACTTTCCACTACACCTTTAAAATTAAGGTGTAGTGTATTCTTATTTGTTTCAACTATACACTACACCTCTTAATAAAGGTGTAGTGTATAAGTTATAATTATATGTTCATTTTTGTAGTAACGAAACTTGTTATACGAAATATTGTGTGCACTTGGTTAAGGAATGTGTGCATGCATGCGTATAGGAATGTGCATGCACTAATACCCTCCTAAACGTGTTTAACGCACATTATACTGTTATAGGGATGTGTCAGACAAAACAAGGACAAACCAAGGACAAAAAAAAACATAAAACATCCAAAAATTAACTCTCAAACATCATAAATAGAAAACATAACTGTGCCTAAATGAACTAAACAAAAGTACTGATCAACTTGTTCAAATTAGCTCAGGTATCTAGCAATGTTCAACCGCATAACGATATTCAACTACGCGACGGATGTGAGGTAGGAACTTGTTCGTAAGCGTGTGCTTATTTGTTGTGAACTATGTGCACTTGCGATAAATATAATGTGCACATCAGTTGTTGAGTGCTTTCACTTGGGATAAGAACAGTTTGTGCATATTAGAATAACATAATGTGCATTTATAGACAAACGTGTGCACATTTGTTGTGAAAAATTACAAAAAAAAATATAAAATATTTTTCTTTATCATACACAAACAAAAAATCACTACCAATAATCATCATCGTCGTCAACATACGAGGTCTGATTAAACAAGGTTTAACAAACTGTTCCTAAATGAAAGTTGATTCGGGAATCAAGCAAAAATCTACATCTTCGCTGGCAAGATTTGCATACAGTGCTATGAATCCTGCACAAGAACCAAACCATGTATAAATTATAAACTAATAAAAAACTCTTGTTTTCTTGTAGTAAACAAATGACTGGATTCAAATCATAAGACTATAGCATCCCATCAATTTGATAGGATTTAAGTAGTCCTCGGGATTTACAAGTGTTTGGGTAACTAAAATGCATGAATATGAATGAGCAGGCACTAAGAGTGTTGCTATTGGACATCCCTGGGCTTCTATTCTGGGCAAAGGTTTACTACCAGGCAAGAAGCTTTGCCATTGATAATCTTCGACCCACATACTATAAAATCAATGGAGTTGTATACATTATACATGTGTGAATTATCATCAACATTTCTTCAGACATTTATATTTCAATTTGATTTCTTCAAATATGAACATAGGTATGCTTATTGATATTCCTCGACAGCATGGGCGAGCCTTCGTCGTATCAGAAGGAAAAAAAATACTTACATGTAGCTGCACCTTCCATCGTCGCTCCAAGATGTCATGTATCACGCTGAAACCACCGCACAATCATACATAGAGAACTACACGCCCACACCCATTTAAAAAAAAAATGCCATAGCCACCGTCGACGGACACATCCCCAACCCATACAGAACTACACGTCCACACCCAAGAATAGACGAAGACAAAAAACAGAACCAAAAAAACAAAAACAAAAACACAACGGCAAATAGCGCAACCAGTGCATCAAAACTCAAAGGAAATGTAAATTAAAAAAAACCCCTACCTCGGATGGACGCCCTTGTCGCCGGACGGGGACGCATGGGATTCCGACCATCTACTTGAGAACAGAAGCAGCGAAATGATGGAGAGGATTGCGATAAACGGCATGCAGCAGTCGAACCAACGAAGGAGTCCAAATGAATTCAAAACTGAGTATACACCGAGAATAATGCAGTAAATACCACGACATGCTGTTGAAAACCCAATTCTGCCCCTACTTGCCTTTAATTAAAATTCTCCAGCCTTAAATAATATATTAAATCTACTAAAAATATAGACCATTGATTCATCAAGATAGAATGTTAAGATTGGTTCCTAAGTTTCTACCTAAAGATGGGTTCTTAGATGAATATATATATATATATATATATATATATATATATATATATATATATATATATATATATATATATATATATATATATATATATACACACACACACACACACACACACCCACACACACACACACACACACACACTAGTAATTGACCTGTGCGCTGCACCGTATGTAAATTAAAAAGTATTAATTTTGTGGATGTTATATTATAAATTGTGTGAAATAATGCGGTTATAATTTATAAAATATAAATGAATTTTGTTTGGGAATTAAACAAAAAAAAATGTAAATGGTATATTACAAATAGTTGCAATTAATGTTATGGTATTAAAAACAGAAAACTTTACAAAACTACAAATTATTGAAAACTTCATGATATACAACATTAGTGGTTGATGTAGTTGTTGAACTTGAGTCTTTTACTATCAATATTTTGAGACCATCTAGATTGTTAACCCGAGATGCAGCTACGTACAACTGACCGTGTACAAAAACCGATTTCTTTAGTATTAATCCGACATGAGATAACGTTTGTCCTTGACTTTTGTTTATGGTCATTGCATATGATAGCATCAACGGAAATTGCATTCGTTGAAACTTGAACGCCAATTTTGGATCGGAGGGTGACATGGACATTCGGGGGATCAACACTTTTGTACCTTTGTTAGAACCAGTCATTATCTCGACTTCAATAACATGGTCTGCTAACTTTGTGATTACCAACCGAGTACCATTGCACAAACAAAGTGAATGGTCGATATTTCTCATTAACATGACCGGTGAACCAATTTTCAAAGTCAGCGTATGATTTGGTAAACCTGAAAATCTAATGCTGTTTAGAAATTCCGGTGTGTGTACATCTCCAATTATACCATTGTCGTCATCAGCTTTGCATACTGCGTTGGAACTAAAGTATGACCTGCTTTCGGCAGTATGCAACGCACTCATATATTCATTGACTGTGTTGACCACATCTAGAGTTGGTGCTAATATAGCACGACCTAGAAGACGTTTGGGGTCAGAATTTTCATTTACAAACATAGGAAATGTACTTCGCACAATTGTTTCAATATGATCCCCTCATGATGGCAGTAACATATGCTTTGGTATTTCAACCTCTGCATAACCATCATTTCGCCCACCCATCTTTCCATCATCGATAGTAGCAATCCAATCAGCAAATTCTTGTAATGCCTGTCGGTTACCACCATTGGGTACCGAACTTAGTGTGAGGTTTTTAGTCAATCTTAAAACTTTGTAACTATCCCATAGATATGATGAATTTATAGCTGAAGAAACAATATCTTGCCGTGTACCTTTTGGTACTACTGGTAGAATTTGGCAAAAATCTCCACCCAAAACAACCGTTTTACCACCAAACGTCTTTGTTGAACTATGCGTGTCTACAAAACGCAACAAATCCCGCATAGTTCGATCTAACGATTCAAAGCAATGTTTGTGCATCATGGGAGCTTCATCCCAAATTATTAAACTCGTCTTTATCAACAATTCAGCCAAATCGCTACCTTGTTTAATGTTACAGGTAGACTCTTCATTTATTGCAATAGATATTGCAAATCTTGAGTGTGCAGTTCGGCCACCTGGTAACAACAAAGAAGCTATGCCACTTGATGCAACATTTAAAACGATCTGACCTTTGCATCGGACTGCAGCTGACAACGCTCTCCATAAAAAAATTTTTCCCGTGCCACCGTAGCCATAAACAAAAAATAAGCCACCTTTGTTAGCTGAAATGTCTTGGATAACAATATCATAAATGAAACTCTGCTCTTTAGTTAGTTTGGAACTCAAAACTTCAGCATCTTCCTTCAATTGTTCATGATTGTAACATAACTCTTCAAAAACCAAATGATTCTGAACCAATCTTGAGTTATCAATAGTTGGTATTGGCATCGGAGGGTAGTCTTTTAAAGACTTATTTTGTAGTCTCAAAAGCTTTTCCAATTCAAACAATCCAAAGTTCTTTTTTTCTTCCTCTGTTAAGACCAAATCTGTTACAATACCAACATACTGATAGTTATAAATATAAACTAAGAAATTTGACAAAAAAAAAAAAATTTCAATCATAAAAAAGTTACAATACATTGTTGTTGTAATATTCTTCTTTGATAGTGTTGAGCATCTTCACACAAATGTTGCCACACCTGATTCCAAACATTTTCGGGCCTAATAATTGAGGTGGATGTTAGTAAAAGAACAAAGAGCTTCCTCAATGAATGAGCAGTTGACCAGTAGCTTGCTTCATTTATAACATCAATGTACTCTTTGTCATCATCTAGCAATCCATGAGTATAACATGCATCTCTAAAGGTCAAGTACTCAACACCGTTAACTGTACTAATATCTTGGAAACTTCTAGGACCACGGACTATGTTCAATTCAATAGACACCTTAAATAATATATTTCACCTGAAGCTGGTGGTACATAGAATATGCGACCAATTGAGAAACCCTTCTTTCTTGGATGCCATTCACGAATGTCCTTTTTCCACACAAAGTTGGTAGGCATCTCAATGTAAGTTAGTAAGCTCGTTTCTTTGAATTTTTTGTTGGCTACAAACCATGCATTAAACATACTTTGCCCAACCGTCTCTCTATTCAGGACATGATTAATCGTATCATCATCTTGGAAAACAACTGATTGACAGTCAGGCAAGTGAAAGCTTAATTGCTTAACAGGGGGCGTTCTATATTGGACTTCAAAACTAAACAACCGCCAGGCTGCCTCGCATGCAGAGATGTATCAACAATCGTAGTACATGTTTATTTCATCAACAATCTCATTACCAGCATCATCAGTTGTAGTCTTATAAAATTCAACAGTTACACGGTCGTTCCCCTTGTTGACATACTTGAATAGGTACTTGATTGACCTAGATTGGTTACACCACTCTACATTTATGTGAGCTTTGTATTTCAAGATGTAATTTTGCATTTACTCAATTTAATAATATTAATTAAAAGACTGACGAATTTGTAACACCCCGAAATTTTGAAACTTTTAAAACTTATATAATAAAGGTAAATTCTTATTAAATCCCAAAACCAAACATAAGAGTGCGGGGTGTTATGCCACATCCGAGCTGGAGAACTCAGATGCATAGGCTAACTAACTAAATATCCTTAAAGCAATGTCAAGACATTATCATGGCACGCAGGCCGAAAGGGAAACTAACTAATCTACGCTTCGAATCTCTAGCGCGCTCCGGGATCTACTCAGTTGTGCCTGAAAGCCAAATATATCTGTTCAGCGAATGATGCTGGTAACCCACTCCAACGCGTTGAAATACAATATATATATATATATATATATATATATATATATATATATATATATGTATATATATGTATATATGTATATATATATATGTATATATATATATATATATATGTATATATATATATATATATATACATATATATATATATATATATATATATATATATATATATATATACATACATATATATATATATATATATATATATATATATGTATATATATATATGTATATATATATATATATATATATATATATATATATATATATATATATATATATATATACATATATATATATATATATATATATATATATATATATACATACATATATATACATATATATATATATATAGAAGAGCGCTCATATGCGGCGGGATCTTACGGTGCGGCGGTGCGGTCAAATTCCAGAATACACCAACAGTGTTAACAATATGCACCAACAGTGTAATAAAAACACACCCCAATGAAATGTAATAAAACATCACAAAATACACCACAGACTCAAAAAAACACACCATATAACTCACCACCCCCAATGGTGTATTTCCGAACAGTGTATGGTGTTTTTAATCACACCTAATGGTGTGTGTTTGGTGATGCAGGGCTCTGTTTACTCTGTTTTGTGTGGTGTATTTCCTAACGTTGATGGTGCATATTTGGTGAACTATTGGTGTTGCCGCACCGTAAGAAATAACCGCACCGTAAGACACTGCCGCACCTGAACCCGCCTCTCTCTCTCTCTCTCTCTCTCTCTATATATATATATATATATATATATATATATATATATGAAAACCATTTTGAAGCAGGAAAATATATACTTAGGAGACTCTAGCTTTAAAACCGGGAATAGACTCGACAGGTAGGGATAAGCACATTAAGCAATGATAAACAGTTATATAGAGATGATATCATAAAGAACATGTATCTAAGGACACAGTTCACTTTCAAATCATTCATATCATCATTCAATCAACATTCAAATCATACAAGCACACTTTGGTGGCGCTACGAGACCAATCACATGCCCCGCACATGAGGGTTAGCGCATATAGCTCTAACACGGCCCCGCAGCACCCTACCTTATACCGCAGCATGAAGGGGTTGATCGCAACCAACCGTATAGACCGTTGACGATTTCAACGGCGGATCACAACCCTACACACCGCTGACGCGGTCAGTCGGTGGACTGTGATCCTCTTTAGGGGACTGCGACCCTACACACCGCTTGACGAACTCAATCGGTGGGGCGTAGTAGATCAAAGCCCTACACACTGCCTGAGGGACTCATTCGGTGGGCGATGATCTTCGGAGACTACGACCCTACACACCGCTAGCCCATACACTCGGCGGATCGTAGATTCGCAGCCGACCATAGCCCTACACACCGCCTGATCACTCATTCGGTGGGCTATGGCCTTCCTCGGGCTAGTGGCCCTACACACCGCCTGGCGCGTCCAGTCGGTGGACCATAGCACACGAGGCCCATGTGGACCGCAGCCCAAGAAGTGAATCACTGACCGCAGCCAGGAAAATGAACCGCAGCTCATAAGTAACCAATTTGACCGCAGCCGACTTCTGAACCGCAGCTCAGGAACAACCAATTTGATCGCAACCAAATTGGGGTATCATGCATCACATAACACATACTAGCACGTATTAGCACATTGGGAAGGGGGAGACATATAAATAAACTTACGTGTGATCATTCACATACTAAGAATAGTCCTAAGGGGTTCATGCATCTTCCTCCTAGGCCAACGAGTTACCGATTCAACTAGCATGCAATACCTAAAACTCTTCTATCTTACGAATGACACCCGAAACATCAAACTAGACTCATGCACGACAAACGGGGTCCGTTGGGACACCACGGGGATTGGGGAACATCAAACGGGGAAGCCAAAGTCCCGAAGTAGGCGACGACCAGCGGGTAGCCGGTGGGTGGAGGGCCACCCGCCGGCTGCCCGCCGGCGACAGAGTTCCGGGCAGCGGGTGCCCGGTGGGCAGTGGCCTGCCCTCCGGCTGCCCGCTGCTGGTGGAGTTTCTTTGGGCAGCGGGTAGGTGGCGGGTCCCCCTACCCCCACCTACCCCACACTGACTCTTTATCAAAATAAACACCCCGGGATCGTTTGTGGAACCCGAAACCATGCTTAGACACTTTCAAACTTGAATAATGACACCACGTAGGCAATTAACGGATCAAAAGCAACAATCACGTAGAACACAACCTAACATGACTTCTAAACATAATTATCACCCGAGCATGCGAATTCCACCCAAATATACCAAGAAAATCCCAATACGAAATTCATGATTCAACCTAGGGCTCTAATCATATTTTAATCACAAAATCATGCTTTATCTTTAAAAATCAAGATCATCAAGATTTATCAAGAACACCACACAATTATCATGATCCTCTTATCATCATCAAGATCACACATAAAATCACCACAACAATTATCAAGATCATATCGCAATTATCATAGAAGATTTCATCAAGACACAAGTATAGAATAGGGAGCCAAAGAAGGAGATTATAGCAAGGAAAATAGGTTTTGTTGAGACACGGGTTACCTTTTAGCCTTAATTAAATGCCTTGGCTATGAAGGATCTTTCTTTAAGATTTCTTCTTTCTTGATTTCTCCTATGAGAATTCTTGGGAATTCTTGTGTGGTGAAAGTTATTGTGCTGTGAGTTCTAGGTGCCTCCTATGCCCCTATTTATATATCTAAGAGTCCTAATTAGGGTCTAAATGGTATGGGCTTGCCAATTCTATTCCTTATAGGACTAAGGGGTTGGTTTTAGGGATAAGGGCCCATGGACTATGGTGGACCCCCTTTTAGCTAATTAATGGATTTTAATTTCCTTTTTAGGGTGAGTAATTAATTAAATAATTTGGTTTAGGGGTCGTAACACGGGGTGTTACAAAATTAGTTTGACAGATTTAGCGATGATATCAGTCAGATAGTTGAATCACTAATTAGCTTGCGGAAAGAGTAAACTAAGGCAGACAACGAAAAGAACAACACACAAGATGTTTACCCAGTTCGATATAGTGTGTATCTACATCTGGGCGACGATCACATAGGCGTCCAATCCACTAACAAATAATCCAGTGTACAAAGGTAGAGAACAATAATCTCACCAAGTGCCCCACACAAAGTACGTACCCAGTCTACACTGATTTAGTGGATTGTTGAAGATGGAGAGCCGTGCATACAGAAGTCCAATGAAATCCCTTCACTTGGAGAGCTAACTCTGATGCAGTCCACTTCAATGACGCAATCCAATGTTGTTCCCACAACTATGTGATCTTAGCCTCCTTTTCGTTTAAGCAACGATATCTCCTCCCAAGTTCTTCATCATAAACAACAAGAACAAATTGTCTTGAGAAGAGTCATGATAATCAAAGATGTGATCTCTTAGTATATGTCGGAGTGTTTCTTTCTTCTTAAAAGCGTAACCCTAATTCTTGATCGAATAAGAGTACTTATAGTTCCATAATAAGAACACTCTCCATAGATATCTCTAATTGTAGATGGTAGGACGATATAAGAAGAATGTAATCTTAAAGATTCGGTCCATACTTTTCCAAGACAGATACGCTGATCTTCTTTCTAAAAACTGACTTCTTAAACCGCGTTCTATAAAAAGGAAACATCTTTTTAAAACAGATCTTTAGTGTTAGTCCCTCTAGTGCTGTATTTGATCAATCAGTCCTCTGTAGAACAAACTGACACCAAACTAACCCTATCTTAGTTTGCCATAATAATATTGCCAATTATATGTTGGGGGTTTTTTGAGCAATTAAAACACTAACAAACTCCCCCTTTGCCTATTATTTGGCAAAACAACTCGACTACTTATAAAAACACAAACTAGATAGGACTGAGATAGAAATTGCATAAAAAACCAAATGTCTGATTACAAAGCATAACAAAAACACATCATACAAGTTATGCTGGAACAAAAAAACATTCTTCATAAGGTGGTGCCATCACAATCAGACGCCCAGACAGGGCCAGAAGGTACAAAAACATCCAAATACTCCCCCTTTTTGCCAATGATAGTCAAAGCACGATCAAGCATTGGAGGGGTTCTCACTGTCAGACTTAGCAGCATCAGTTGCAGCAGATTCAGTCAAGCTCAAGCGGAGAAGAACGGTAGCCAATTCAGTACAGGCCCCTGTCAGCTGTTTCTCAATGACTCCATGAACAGTCTCAAGTTCAGATACCCTGGCCTTTAGACGTAGAGAGAGTTGGACATCTTTCGCATGTGGCGAATCATCAGCCACTGTATCAGCATCAGAAGTGGAAGGAGCAATCACCGGCGTAACGTCTCGGATGTGACCTCCAGTCAGAAGACGAGGGTCAACAGTATAAAGAAGAGTCGGACTGATCACCTCACTAGGCATTGGCTCAAGGCCCTGCGATGTTAGAACTCCAAATATCAGATTAGGGAATGACAACCGTACCTTCTGCTCTCGAGGATGGATCAAAGTGAGGATATGATAATAGATCCAGGACCCCAGATCAATAGACATTTTTGTCCCAATCCGAAACAAGAGAGTTGCCAATTGCTTGCCGACCGTATGAAAGTGAGCCGATGGAATCCAGTTGTGAAGTGCAAGACGGTGCAAGATG